TGGGGCGAGATTATACTTTTTCCCTGCTTTCGAAAGCTCGTATTCGTTCTGGAGGGCAGCGCCGGCATGTGCCGGCAATCCTACATTAATCAGCGTCGAAATAAACTTAACCGAGATATAGCACGAGGTAGCTGCCATAACTTAAACCGTATTTATGGTCCACCGTTGTGGTTCCGGGGGAGGAACATGGATATACAACCCCGAGGCCGCGGTATAACGTGCTTCACGCACTGTAATTCGGCCGATACTGCTAAGTCTAGCGGCGAGCGGGATTATCGAGCCGCGTTATATTATACTCGGGGAACGTAATAAGCCGCGAGTATAAGGGAAGGTAATTAAGGTCGCATCCGGGCATAAACGCACGAAAAACTGATAATGGAGCGCCTCCGGTCTCGCGGATGCCGGTGGAGCTAAAAGGGAACAATAAGCCCCGACGATAATCTGTCCGAAAACCGGAGAGGAGTTCTCCCTCCCCCTCTTCCCGCGCGCCGCGTACAGAAATACTCCCCGTAAATTGTTATGGTCTAATAAAGTCCGTTAATTGATATATCTTCGGATGTATGAAATTACGCAATAATTTTCCGACGGTAAAAGAGTAATCATTGTCCCTCCGTGGTTTCCTGATGACTATTAAATGAACGCTCGTCATTGTAATGTATAATTTTATGGCAATTATTAATTCGATTACGTATTGGAAATTTATTACAACGCGCCATTTACGCGATGGCCTCACTTTCCCCACTTCTACAAATATTTCCATTATTAATTTGTGAAATAAAATCCGTGGATTTATATTGTACAGGTCGTTAAATTTACATTATGAGCTCATTACGTTGCACTCCACGGTGTGGAGTGTTTAGTAAATTTTCTCAAAAGTTAATATCCAGTGGTATTTAAGAATTTAACACGTCACGTAAAGGTTCTTTCGAAACTTCGCCGTTATAGATCTGTCTGTTACAATAACGTAACGGATAATGGTTTGGCCCAATCGCCAATAACCCGAATTGATGGCGGGGAATATCGCCATCGCGAGAAGGATGAGTTTGCTCGAGTGTGCGGGAACAAATGAATTTTCCGAACGTGATTTCGTTTATTTAAAATATTGAGGAAAGGCCTCTATTGTGAGATACCGAGTTCATTTTCGGTAAATGCTACGAGTCTATGAGCAGAATTTCAGAAAACAATAGGTCACTTTGATGGGAATTTAATAAGCTTTAAGATAATGTTATATAAAATTTAATTCAAATTCCATTTTTTTGGAAAATTAAAAAAATGTAAAAAGTAAGCGAATCGCAAAGTCAAGAAATTGTGCTGCTAACATGAGATGTCCCCCATCCCCTCCCCGAGAAATCGATAATAAAACGCAAAGTATAGTCAGTATTGTAACTAAAAAAAACTTTTATTTAATATTTCTTAAATACAAACAAATACAGCCAGGGCGAAAAATGAGTATGCGATACATTATACTCAGAACTCGTTTTGTGGTAGTTGAAATCAAGCATCGTAGAAATAGGTACTCGATGTTCATTCCGGTTATCCTTTTTATTATTGTACGATAACATTTATACTTTGGCAACAATTTTCACTATGACATGGGAACATAGGTTATTTCATATTAGAAGTTTAGGTATCTCATATTACGATTTCCACGCCTTACGGTTTTACGATCATTAAATCTTAACTTCTGTAATTAGGCAATTCAACATATCCCGTATTTTTCTATTAGTACGACCTTACTCTATCACTACGTGAAGAATTTATTGCTAAATATTTATTTATTAAATAAAAAACAATGTTTAAAGACTCATCTCGATAAAACTTGAATACATCCAAATTCGAAAATCTTTTTTTACAATGATTACAGGCATGATCTAATAATGAATTTTCTACTAAATAGTTGTCGATCCAAGAGCAATAAATTCATGGTGAAACCAGTAGATAGCGTCTATTAGTTTAGCAGAAATGCCGCTATCTCATTAGGCGTCTATCTCATAATAGGGAGCTTTCATCTGTATAATCGGATACTTTGCTGGAACGCATAAAGCGGCGACTACAACGAGATTTTAAGTAGTAAAAGTAAAACTTTAAGTCTCTCACACAGTCCCGTAAGAAATTGACCAATCACAGTCAAACGTCGGAAGAATAATTGACCATGATTGGTCAGTTTCTAACCAATTTGTTTGAGGCTTAAAACTTAAATTTTTAATCTCGTCGTAAACGCCACTTGAGAGAAAATAGTCAACTAGTAAATAGAATTTTTTTTTTTTTAATAATAAGAGAAATTATTTTTGCTTCTCACACACATCACTGTATAGAAAGACTCGCCTTTCCGTTAATCTAAGCTGTCTAACGATATTCTGACTTTCACCGTTGGTACTTTTATATCGAAATGCGGTCATACTGGAAAAAACAGTCACGGAATAATTACGGGGCAATTTGTTGCGGCGGGGAAACAGAGACGCCTCGTCGTTGTGCTCGCCGCAAACCGGCTGTATAATTAAGGCCCGATGCCTCAGCGTCGTCTCGTCCGACAACACGAGCGGGGCAAGGCGGGCGTCATTTACGGGCTGATTAATTGCGTACCAACCCGCCGCGATCGCATCCAGCCACAATCAACGGGAAACTGTCTACGGAAGAAACCGAACCTGAGCTGAGACGGTGCGAAACGGAATAATCCCAGAGTCAGAAAATCCCGATCGTGACGGGTTCTCCAGAATCTGCGGATTAAAGAAATAAGGAATCGAAATAAAGAAGAGGGATCCCGCGTAAGAAATCAAACACGGAATTTTTATCACGGAGATCCATTGAATTTCAACGAGCGACGCTTTTTTCCTCCGTAGGAAATTTCTCTCGTGAAACTTAACTAAATCTAAATGGAGTAATTATGAATGCAGAGAACGCGTTCGGTATAAATGGAGCCGGTTAAGGAAACCTATCACCGGAATAATTCGAACCTTATGCTGAACCGAGACATAATTTTCGTCGGCCATCTCTTCCGTTATTTCCTTTCTATTTTACGTTTAATAAACTTAACGAGTTTATCGTATATATAACACCCAATAATGAATCTGCCCGAGTTGCGCTTGAGAATAAGATCAATAATTTCCGAATGCGCGTACACTGAACCACGTAAACACCAGCTCTCTTATACTAACACACACACAATGTGTGTGTGTGTGTGTGTGTGTGTGTGTGTGT